AAGAGCTGCTCTGCAAAGATGAGCAGATGCTTAATTATTGTGTGACAGAAGTCTGAGACAGAGTATTATTAAACACATAGCTCTGGTTTACTTAGGTTTTGGTATAGCAGAGGCAGGAACTTGTCTCTGTATCTCAGTGTACAAACCTTTGAGATAGTATAATACTATTTGAATAACTGAGTACCGCACTGAAAACAGTAATCAATGTTTCCAGGCAGCTTTCTCTCTGTGGTGATTACAGCCCTCGGTTTTTATTCTCTGGTTGTCACATCTACAAACACAGAGACAGCAGCAGACTATGAGAACAGTTTTGTTGGCAGGAGAGTCAGATGGATGGAATAGATTCATCTGGATTTGATAGTTCATAAGAAGCAAACCAAAACTGGTAACAAATTAAATATAAAAAGGGTACGTATCCTTGGGGACTAAGCCAAAAGGTGAAAGATGGTAGCTGTCACAGTTTTATCTAGCTAAAGATTAAAACAGATCCCTGACAGCTATTGTTTCAAGGCATTAAAATGAAAACTTCTCAGTGCATTACAATATCATTTGACTGAGGCTTTCAGTACTCAGCCTAACAACAGATGCATTGAAGTAGAATTGCCATCAAATCCTGCAATTATCTGGCAAAATGCCAGATAATCTAAAAAGATGTATAGATGATACATCCAAACACTTTTCAGGCTTTTGAAGGTCAGTCGAGATGTATATTATTGTGTGCATCTTTCTTGCATGCTGTTGCCTTAGGATTTATTTCTGGGACTGCTGCTACGTGGAAGCTACAGAAGACCTACAGTTAGCTTCTCTTCTTCTGTTAAAACATTCTGGTTTGGGGAGGTATGGCATGTTTCCTATGGAGTCATAGCTGGCTGATTTAAGCAGCTGTAAAACTAAATAGTGATTTTCTGAAGGGATCAGAGGTTAGGGTTATGTCAGGGTTTGGACAGTTGCTCTATCACTTGACCCCACCTGGGAGGGGCAGTCAAGCAAAGGAGACCTGTGGGGTGAAACGAAAACAGATTTAACAGAATGATGAACTAACATTAACCCCAATGCTAATACAAGACACAAAATTATACTCAGCTCCAGATAGCAGTCATGAGCTGTGTGCTCCTAGCACTGCAAGCTGAGTGCCCACACCACCAGCACGACAGCTCCAGCGGTTACAGGAAATGAAGGAGCAGGCCTCAAGCACGAGGTGGTTGCAACCCTCTTGGGAAGGCAGCAAAACATCCCCACAAACATCCCAATTTATAGTGAGGGTGATGATTATGGTATGGAGCACTTGGGTTGGTCAGCTTGGGTTAGCTGTCAGAGGGTTCACCCCTCCCAGCCCACTGCACCTACATGGTTCAAAACTACCCTCAGCCTTGGTCACTACAGACACCTTCATACCAGAGCATCTTTTATTCTTACATAATTTGACTCTGCAGTCTCTCAAAACTAGTTTCTCCAGAAAAATTATTTTAGAGTTCTGTCCCAGCAAGATCAGGATATATAGCTTGCCCAGTTGGAGAATATGTACACAGTTAAGTATCCCAGCCTTACACTGAACTCATCTACATTTGGGGCCCAACAAGTTTTTTTTTGCCCAATGTTTTATACAACCACTACTTATCTACAGCTTTGAAGAGCCAGAACCATTGTGATTAATGTTGCTCTGCTAATTTTCTTAATCTAGTCAGTGTGCTTAAAACACAGATACTTTTGAGGCTTATTAACTGAGACAATCTGTCTGATGCACATGCAAGGGAAAGGAGGGACCCATACAAAGAAAATCCAGAAATCCTACCCCTACTATGTCCTGAAACAGAAGATTTCCATCCAATTTTGCTTGTTCTCCATAAGGAAGTTGATTTTATTACTTAACTGGTTATGTTCTGTAAATGAGAGAACTGATATGAACAGAAATGGATCCATTAAGTACATTGTTCACTTGGAAATTAATCCTGTTTTCAAATATAAATTCTTCACAGTGTCTGAAAATACAAAAGATATAAATACAATTTTTCTCAGTATTCAGAGGACAAATCATAAAGTATGAGTTTTCTGTTGCAGATCTGAGCAAAGAACATTTGAGTAGACTCTTATTTCCTGCTAAATCTTTCTGCAACTTGATGAGCAGCTGGTTTGCTTGATTTTAAAGACAGCTTGCTTGCCAGGTGCTGTTGCTCACACTTCCACATCTCTACATGGCATAAAAGTGTCACAAGACAGATTTATTTCTCATCAAAGCTTCGATTCAAGAGCACTCAGTTAGTATTTTTGAGATCTTAACAGCAAGTTCATACTTAGAATGCCTGTCTTTCTAACTTACTGTAATAACACTGTAGTACCAGAGAGATTTAAAAAATCTGCAGCAAAGCAATAAATTGCTACCATATGAACTATGTGAACTGGAGTTCTGACATGGTTCTCAGGAGTTTCACTTATATATAAATACAGTAATAGGCTCATTATTAAACCCTGTGAGACCTTGCCCAATGCTAGCAGGCAGGAGACCACTGATTACTTACATAAAATCAGAGTTTCTATCCAATCAGTCGTAATTTGGGGTGAGCTTTGAAATAAATATATCCACAATATATCCAGGTAACAAACAAGCACAAGAACAAGTATTTAGTGTGAATCATTTTCATTAGAATCAGAATCTTCGGAGGTCCCTTCCAGCCCCTAATGCTCTGTGAAATATCTGTGAAATATATCCCTATTCCTAATATATCAAGACTACAAGTAGTAGCTAAGACTGTCAAAAGGTTTTTATAATTTGGTTTTCTACATTAACTGACGGCAGACAAATCAGTAATTGGTTCTACATTAAATAACAAGCTCCCATTTGCAGTGCCAGTGGCTTCTCAAGGCTAAGATTAAGGATATAGAGTTGGTTTAGGTGTCAGGAAAACCAAATGACACAAATTCAGGGACCAGGATTTTGTTTATTTTCTATTTCCATGAGGTGGGCAAAATTAACATTAGCTAATAAGAATTCCTATCTCTCTCCTCTAGTAAAATACCAGATACTAGTAACCATGGCACACCTCCAAGGCTGCATTAGTTCACCTGTGGCAAGAAAAAGCCCAGACTGACAGATGAGAAATGCATTATCCCAACAAATGACATTTTAAGAGCTGAGCTTTAGGTCATGGAGAGCAAATTTTACTTGTTTTGACTTCCTTAAAAGGTTTCATGCTTCAGCAGGGCATTTTCCATATCATAAAAAACAAATCACTCTTTACCAGTGTTCATGGGCGATTAACACTATTCTCTCATCAGTAAAATCTTCTTTTAAGAAATCCAAGGACAAAAAGTCCTTAGCAGAGGTTCTGATCCAAAGGCCACTGAAGTTAGCTACTTCAGCAGGCCAGATAATTGCACCTTAAGGAATTGAAACAAGTTGCATCCTTAGTTTGCACTAAGGATTCATACCTCCTGTTTCTTATGTCCCTTGAGTAAAATAAGGGTGGAATCTGGATCGGAGACAGGTTTGTTCTGTTGCACAAAGCTGTATCAGTATTTTACAAAGAAAGAAAAAGATCATCTGATCTGCTTTAATTTTCAGTGGAATAAAGGTGATGGCCAACAGATGTGGCCTGGGCCTCTCACCTTCTGTACTAAGATAAATCTTTTACATTCTCAACAGATCTCTGGTTATTCATGCCTGCTTTAAAGCCATTTCTAGAGATAGTTGGTGAGCTACAGCTTCTAATGCCTTCTTTGTTCCTGAAAAGGATTAGACTGCAACCGATTCAGGATTCCAGTGTCCCAAACCCATTCATATGCTTTCAGAACAGCTATCAGCAGCCACTGCACATCTGCCTAGAAGTCAGTATGATAGGATAGTTGATGGTTCTCTCAGACTTGTGTTTCTTCTGGTGTTACACAACAATATATTCTCAATGTTAACTGCTGACTCCATTCAAAGTTGTAGTTAATTATGAGGCTTTGTGGAAATCTTGACCTGAACTCTGCTGGTTTTTTTCTGCAGCTAACCTAAAAAGTAATGATAGCAGTATAACACATTTTCTAGAAACACATTTTATGTAGCTTTAAAGACTTCAGATGACAGAAAATGTACTATATCCTTTGGCCATGTCTTCCAACAGTTAAACACTATTCCTATAAAGAATTTGCACCTAATTTACAATTTGAATTCTGCAGACTTAAGCATTTAACTTTGGGGTCTTTGTGTCTATGCCTTATAGATGAAATAATTGCTTGGTGTCAGTCCATTTCACACTTTCTTGGAGATGCTTATTAAAACATCTTTTTCTCTCTTCTGTAAAAAGCTAAATAAATATAACATTTTAGTTTACCATCAGAAGTCTATAATTTTTGAGCCATAAAACAATTTTATAACTCTTTTCTGAAAACTCAACCACTGAGTCACATTTTGAAAACCATTACTCTAGGACTA